CCCCAAAACCCCAAAACCCCAAAACCCCAAAACCCCTTTATTTAAAACAGGAATTGAGAGTTATCTTACTGAATTAAAGCGAGTCTGAAGGTTTATATTACTTCATCTACATCAATCTCTCCATTAAGCAATCCTTCCGCAACATCGTCTTCATCTTTTGGTTTTGAGCTTAACTTCTTGACCTTGCTTATACCTTTCTTGATCCATTTAATGATTTTCTTAATTTTCGGCTGACTGCCAATATCCATAGAATATTCCCCCATTTCATCAACAAACCCAATTTCCTGAACATAATTTTTGACCACAGGTTTGGAATAAATGGTTGTTTTCTCATTCTCAGTCAACGGGATGTGATAAAACCTATAAATTAAAACCTAAGCTCCTACATGTCATCTTTCTGATCTTTTGCCTCCTCATAATTCAAATATTCATCGAAGATCTTTACAAAATGCTCCAATACTTTGATGATTTCTTCATGAGGGAGTTCATTCTTGATCATCTTTTTAATAACATTTTGAGTTGCTACTTTTCAGTCTTTAAAACTTTCAGTATCCCGCTTTTTCGGAGGATCCATAGACTTTTTGTCCTTGGTTGATTCGATCTTAGTCTCCTCAACTCCAGCTTTTAATTTGAGCTCTTTCATCTTCTCAACAATGGCTTCAATAGGTTTATTGAGTATTTTAGCAATCTTTTGTGCACAATCATCGGAATCTTTGAAGATGTCATAATACTCAAGGAAGTTGGCTTCTTCATCGGCTTGCCACCCAGATTTAGAAATAGTTTCCTTGTACTTATCTATGTCATCGAGGACTGCTTCATCTTCATCAATATCATCTCTGTATTGATTGTCATCATACAAGTCATCTCCTTGGTTATGGAACTCATAATTTGTCAAGATATAGTCTTTCGTTTCTCTTGATGGGAACTTAAACATTATCTCAAATGGCAGAAGAGGGTTGTCCTTTCATCTATCAAAGAAATTACCAAGTATTTTCTTTATAGTGTTTATCAGTTGCTGGTATTTAAGCTCTTTACGATATTGACTGAGAAACAGATCAAAGGAGTTCAATGTGTCAAGCTGATAGAATATCCAAGTTCCCTTAATCTGGACCATTATTCTGTTATAGAATCAGCTAATTGCTTTGATGAGTTCTTCATCGAGTGCTTCAGGGAGCTCAAGTCAAGTGTTAACATTTTCTATGATTCCATATGTGGCATAATCCATGAGGGTTGCCTTTAGACTGAACCTTACTTCTTCATAATTGAGATCTTGATAATCCATCTCTTCTTCACCCTCTAAGGCTGTCTTAGTCTTTCTTGTTCTCTGAACTTTCATCAGCACCATTTTATTGTCACAAAACTTTTCCATTACTTCAAGTAAGACATTGGTATACCTGATCATTGTGTGCATGAAATATTTCTGGAATTTGTCCCTATCATAAATGTCAAGTCCGAACTTTGCAACTTCATGCATTTGAAGAGTTGCGAGCTTTTCTTTAATTGTCCTTGCATTCTTTTGTGATTTCTCATGAGGAGAATTATCCATATCCCTAACTCAGTAGAAAAGTTCAATAAAGTATTCCATTGCTGCTAAGAAGATGTCCATTTTTCTGTCCTTTTGCCTAGTTTCCATTTTATTAAAGTAAGCCTGGCTAAAGATGAAGTCAATGTTCTGAGTTTTCATTGCACTTCTTACAAAAGCGACAGGAATTTTAAGAATTGGCTTAGGCCCTCTCTGGCCTCTCTCTTTCTTCATGTACTCCTGCATCTCTTCTTTGTATTTCTCTTGGGAATTTAGTCTGTTCATACATAAGAAGAATGCATTGATCTTGATGTACATATAAATTTCATTTGCCTTTACTTCATCATTATTCCCAGAGTAAATCATCTCAAGAAGAGTATCAATAAAGTTATTAAATGACTGCTCGACTAGATCAATGGCTAATTCTTTAAGGTCTTGTCTCATTTTCTCTTGCTCATTATCCCCTTGGAGGCTAGTATTATCCATGTTTCTATAATGGATTAGCATTCCTGTATCGAAATCAGATTTTATAGCTTTCTTCTTCCTGATGCCTGTTCTTCCGATATCTTTCTGCCTCATTAAGTTATCATTAGGGATTCCAGCAACCATTCTCTTAATCTCTGAATTTTTCTTGTCTTTCAGAACAATATTAGTGCCAAATCTGGAATGTCTAGATGATCTGTTGGTTTGTCTTTTCTTCTTTTCATCAATTTCCTTCTTCATATAATCCTTCAGGGTCTTCTTTTTAGTAAGAGAAAAGAATTCATGCGGGTAGTAGTCCTTGAAGATGTGGAAAAATATCTCTAAAAAGTGGAAGCTTAACTTCTTTGAAAATTCACTCTGCAATTGAGCAGACATGTAGATAAATGAATCAAACACGGATTCTTCTTTGAAATTTTTTAGCAAGAGATATGAGAACGACTCGTCTTCGTCAGATTTAGCTTTGGGTATTTGAAGTAAATTTTTAAATATCACTATGACCAACTCGACAAGTTGAGAATTCTTATCGTCAGGAATTTTGGTATCTCCTCTGCAGCCATCTGAGAGATGCATTGAAAGTGTTTTTATCACACCTGGAACTAAGAAAGCTCTTTTGTGCTGTCTCATACTCTGTACAAGCTCTTGATAATTGTTAGCGGTCTTCTCAAATGGATATGTAATCTCAGTAATCAATAAAATAACATAAAAGCTGAGCTTTATATCTTGCTTTTGCGAAAGTAACAAAGGGAGTAAAGAATCCTTTAAGAAGTCCCAAGAATTAAGCATCTTTCTAATAACAGGATCGTGGGGATTATCATTCCTCAAGAACCTGCTGATGTCCTTAAGGTTTTCTTCACAATGATCTCCTTTGACAAAAACATCGATGTCCTGGATCTTCTTGAATTTTCCAACGTTCTGGACACAGAAGAGAAGTTCACTATAAACCTTGGTTTCATCAAAGTCCTGTCTAATTTCTTCGAGGTCTTCCATAATAGTTTTAATTTCCCGGTTAATTTATATAGCGGGATTCAGTTTCCTTTTGAATTATTGGGGTTTTGGGGTTTTGGGGTTTTGGGGTTTTGGGGTTTTGGGG